CTTATTCCAAATATCCTTCCAGCACTTGTTATATTCCAAATATCCTTCCAGCACATGCCCTATTTCAAACATTCTACCAGCACATGCCCTATTTCAAATATCCTTCCAGCACTTGTTATATTTCAAATATCCTTCCAGCACATGCCCTATTTCAAACATCCTTCCAGCACATGCCCTATTTCAATCATTCTTCCAATATCTAGCCATCATGTCGCATGATATCACCTTCATCGAAGTTTTGTCCTCTAAATTCAAAGTGTTCGGAGGCTGGTGCTGTAAAGTCAAACACAATGGTGAATCCAAGCTTATTGCATCCGCAACTCTAAGATTGGATCCTCACTATCCACTAGCACGTCCGGCTACTGTCAAATGACATCCACCATGCTAAATGTCCCAAAAGCCATATTAAACCAAGCATCCAAGCATGCAAGCCAAAATCAAGCATACACGCCAATACCAAGTATCAAGCCAAAATCAAGCATACATGCCAATGCTAAGCATCAAGCCAAATACCAAATATACAAGTCAAAGCAAATCATGCAAGCCAAAATCAAGCATACATAACTAATATTAGATACACAAGTCAATGCAACTCTTGCAAACCACAATCATGCAAAATCAAGCCTCTCTAGTCACTCAAGCAAATAAATCATGCGAGCTAAGTAGTTATCTTGAGCTAATCCACCAAGCATTTTCTTCTATATCATGCCACAAAATAAGGTCAACTCTTGGTAACTCTAGTAAGTGACCTTCAAAATTACAGTGTCTAGGAAAGTTCTTCAAGGCAACACCCTCGGTGTTTAAGAATGATTGGGTTTTAAGTGGGACCATTGTGACCCCTCCAACCTTCCCGGAAAAGACCTGGCTGTAATTTCAGAGACTCTTAACCTGTTATCCTTGAGTTGCTCCTAAACCCATGCCATGCCATGCCATGGTAATTTATTTTGGGCTGAAAATTGATTATTCGGACCATTTCAATACACATTCATGGCCCCAATAATCAAGGGGGCTAATGTTGAGGCCCAAAATATTCACGGTTCG